ACCACAAACAGTATTGTTGGGGGTAAAATTTTAGTGCGTCTGACCTTGAATGTGTGAGGGAAGCAGCCGCCAGCTGACTGTGTGTAGCGACGTCTCTTAGTGCCTGAACTAACTATATTAACTTAGTTGTACAGTTGTGGTGAACAAAACATGTAGATACTTATATATAACATCTGTATATAGTGAATAAAAGCAAAAACAGTATTGTGGGAGGAGAATGTGGGTGAGTCAGGTGAGGTGAGGAAGGGAGGAAGTAGCAACCAGTGGCGGGCTGCCACTGCCACTCAGCATGCCAACTTAGTGGTTCATTATGGTGAACATGAATGTAGATACTTATATATAACGTCTGTATATAGTGAATAAAAGCAAAAACAGTATGGTGGGAGGAGAATGTGGGCGAGTGAGGTGTTGAGGGATTGAGAGGCAGCGAGTGGCTGGCTGGTGAGTGGCGGTCACTCCTCGTTGCTTTACGACTCATAATACCAACTTAGTGGTTCATTATGGTGAACAAAACATGCAGATACTTATATATAACCTGAGTATATAGTGTAATAACCGACAAAGTATTTGTTCACTGTTTGATGAACATAATTGAATCAACAATATGCACACCATATTTTTGAGTACAGCGATGATTCACTCATTTTATTATATAAATACAGTACAACCTCGATTCAACGTACCCCGATTCAACGAATCTCCGGCTAGTTCGCACACTTTTCAGGCCGGATTTACTCACCCGGTTCAACGAACAATGATTCGCCGAAGTGGGGGATGTTCGGATTTGCTTATGACGTCGAGACAGAGTTCACAAACTGGTGGAAAACTTTCCCATTCTATCACAGATTACATTTATTAATTCCTTCATATGACAAGTTCTATCACACAAGTGGACCACACAAGTGGACCACAAGTGGTCCACAAGCTTACGATGTTGGGACAGAGTTCATAGAGTGGTGGAAAACTTTACCATACCATCACAGATTACAATTAATAATTCCTTCATATGACAAGTTGGATCACACAAGTGGAGCACACAACAAGTGAACCATATGAACCAAACACCAGCCAGAGTGGTCCACACAAGTGAACGACGGAGTTTCAATGATTTTCGTTCACCAAATTGTGGCACACGCATCTTTGTAAATTAATTTAAAGGCTGAAGCGTGAATAGCTGGCTAATGTGTTGAAATCTTCTGATATACATTTTCTGCAATGAAACAAGACGAGTGAGGGTGAACAGATTAGGGAATACTGTACAGTAAACCTCACTGTACAGTGAGGTTTCACTCACTTTCGTCTGTGTTGTCATAGTTCAGTGACCCATGACTTTGAACGTTTCACATTAAATCATTTCTAAAACTGGTGTTTTAATAACTTTATTATTCTAATTAAACTAAACTAAATAAAACCAAAAATATACTGTAATATGATAGATATCTGCTATTTTAGAAATTATTCACGTTATTGGCGGCACAACTCCAGCACGAGTGGACATGTCTAATCCCTGTCCATACAACACCATGCTTGTTTTGTTCGATTTCGTCGCAACAGTTCAGTGATCTACGGCTTCGAAATAATAAAATTAATAAATCAGTTCCAAAATAAGTATTTTTTATAGCTCTTATTACCGTAATAATGTTGCTAAACTAAACATGTAACCTAAAAATATATAATTTGATGTAAATCGAATATTTGAGAGAAATTTATGTTACTGGAAATCGAACACAACACCAGGTGTGATTTGTTCGATTTCATCGCCACAGTTCAGTGACCTACGGCTTCGAAATAATAAAATTAATAAATCAGTTCCAAAATAAGTATTTTTTATAGCTCTTATTAACGTAATAATGTTGCTAAACTAAATATATAACCCAAAAATATATAATTTGATGTAAATCGAATATTTAAGAGAGGTTTATGTTACTGGATCTGGCGTAAACACCAGCCTACTGAAGGGTGTACGCATAGACTTAGTCTGCATTCGTGCAGTATGCACCCTTAGCTTTGTCTGCGATTGACGTACAGTATTTATCCACCTGTGGAAGAATAATTGTGGAACTGACCAGTTTTTTACTACAGCTCTTTGGTTATAAAGCAAAATGTCTCAGGGCTTACTAATAGTGCCTTATTAATGCCAAAAATGAAGCAATATTTTGCAAGAACTAGTAGCAGAAAATCAACCAGCCCAAGCACAGCCGTACCCAGCACGAGAACAGCTGTACCCAACACAAGAACAGCCGTACCCAGCAAGAACAGCCGTACCAAGCACGAGAACAGCCGTACCCAGCACGAGAACAGCCGTACCCACGAGAACACAACCCAACGAGAACAGCCGTACCAAGCACGAGAACAGCCGTACCAAGCACGAGAACAGCCGTACCAAGCACGAGAACAGCCGAACCCAGCACGAGAACAGCCGTACCCAGCACGAGAACAGCCATACCCAGCACGAGAACATCCGTACCCAGTACAAGAAACAGCCGTACCCAGCACGAGCACAGTTGCCCACCCAGCACTGGTACAACAGCAGCCAGCACCAGTTCAGAAGCAGCTGAACCCACAGCAGCAGCGAGCACCAGCAAAGCTGATGCAAACATCTAAAAACATCGTGTGCGGCGTGAACAGTTAGAACAAGTGTTAAATTTAAGTGTGTACACAGTGTTAAAATTAAAGTTGCAGTAATTTTAGTGTACAATAGTTTTCATAAACTGTATTGTAGTACTCAACATACAGCAGAACTACTTTTAATCAACACAGTGCTAACGGCATAATGCACTACAGCACGTATTTACTGTAGAGCATTCACAACTTCACAAAACGTCAAGATGGACATAACTCCAACAATAAAGTAAATATTATGAATTACAGTATTTTTTAGTAGAGAAGTAATATATAGGTACAGTATGTAATATGATAATGCATTTTTATGGTGTACAAGAAAAAAAAAAAAAAGACACTGACACAAACGCCTCCTGAAGGTCACCTCTTGCAACGAATCCAACGCTCCAACGAACTGGGGTTGGTCCCATATAGTACGTTGAATCGAGGTTGTACTGTATATCACACTACACACTATTGAATAATATCACAGCAAAAAAACTATGAAAAATCAATCAGACATATTCAAATAATTAGGCAATTATCTCTTTGTGGCCACTCTTGCCTGACAGCTGGGAGCAACAGACCGTCTGGGACGCATGCTGAGTCAGCGCCTGTTTTTTGCCAGACTTCCCCTCCCTATAGCGGGCAATATATGCCACTTACGATTTTTTAATTATTTTTCCCATGATCAGAGAACACAAATTAACAGGTTTAGAAGAAAAAATCATTTTTTTTTTTTTGGTATGCGCCTGTGGGGTTGCAACCCGCTCTCGCACAAGACAGTACATATATGACTTATTGCTTATAGTCACTATTTGGCTGATTAATAAGTACATATGTGGTATATGCCAAGTTATATTTTGTTTTTAAGGTACAAACTCTTCCTTCAGGTTTGCTAAATACCAGTTTTATTATTAGGTATTTCTTCATCAGTTTTATTAAACAATAGAGATTTTATACAATATTTGAAAATATCCTGAGTTACTTTACAATTTATTTAAATATTTTGGTTTTGTTTTATTATTTTTATAAAACTGTAATGTCATTATATGTATAGGTTAAATACTAATTGTAATTAAGAAGCAATAAGATACTTATCTTAACATACTAAGAAGGTTAGGTTAGGTCGCTGTTTTCTATTCAGCTTTTCAAAGTAAACTAAAATATTCACAATAAATTAGTATGTCACACATGCACATATTAATAAGCCAATATTGACTATAAGCAAGTGCGAGAATGGGTTGGGGTGACAAATGCTAATTAGCCCCGAGCAACACGAGGGTTAATAGATTGATTTTGATTCTGTTTGTTTATTATGCACCTTATACCCATCCTATGG